CTCCCCCAAGGTAGATCAGGAACTTTATAGGATTTCTTTTAAGTGGTGTCACCTCTCCCTCCTCCCCTTGGGATTTATGGCGGTACAACTGGGGAGAAAAAAAGTAGAACTTGGAAACCTCAGGAACCGGTCTTGGAGAGAATAGAACTCCGAGAGGTAGAATGGGTGCTGGCAGCCAATGAGAGAAGAAAACAGGCTCAATCGTAGGGGCCCAGTTTAAACTCAGCTAATGATGCTGCAGTCTAAGTCAGATCGTGGATTGTTATCAATGTCAACATCCTGGTTGTAATATTCATTGTACTAGAGTTTTGAAAACTGTTACCACTGGAGGAAACTGGACAAAGTGTACATAGGATCACTCTGTATTATTTCTCATAACTGAATGTTAACCTACAATTATTTATATAAAAATGTTAATAAAAAAAGAAACGATGCTGGAGTTTAGCTGTAGAAATATTCACAGGGGCCCAGAGTAATGACTTGTGGTGTCAAAAAGTCCTGGGTTGGAGTCTTGTCTCTCTCAGGCTGCATGTAAGGTCCAAGGTCCCATGTGGCCTTTGACAGTTACTTAAACTTCTTGAGCTTTTAAAAATTTTCATGTGTGTTAAAATAAGATTGGTAATACCTATAGCGTAAGTTTTAATTTTGTATAATTAGCAATTTCCATATGGTTTGCTCTAATAATTAATACCATGACAGAGGTACACAACAAACTATAGTTCCTTCTTTCTGTCGAGGGCAGTAATTAACCCTTAACTATCCTGTCACCATCAGTAGCATCACTTGCCCCTGATGTTATTTTTAGACACAAGATATGAATGTAGCCAGAGCCAATTAAAATTTTTGTAAACTGATTAGAGATTGAAGCAAATATTCCTACTGTGTATGACTGCTATTTTATATTGGTATTGTTGAAATTCCTGATATTAACTGTAATAAGAGAATATTTCTCCCCTCTTGTAGGCTATAGTTTGGGATGAGTACCTGACAGGACCGTTTGGCCTGATTGCACAGTATTCGCTACTGAAGGTAAGTGAGCTGTTTGGGTTTTGGTAGGGGATTTACTTTAGCAGTGATAATAGGATTTTACATTTCCTCGCGAGTAATTGGCTTGCAAAGCTATTTGGTCTTTATAAACACAGATACGAGTGCGCGATTGACATTTTGTATATAGTAGTCCTTTGCTGGGTGATTCTATGCTGATCCTAGCATTATGTTATATGACCGTTGCCTGGTATCTTTGCTAGTTCATCCTGTGGGAGTCATTTGAATGCCAATGCAGTAACAGTGGCTTTATCCTAAAACTTTGTCCTTTATGCATTTGGCTTTGGGGGATGTAAATTTTGTTAATAAAGTATTAATGTGTACTTGATTGGGGGTATTTGTGATTTCTGAGTCTGGAAATGATAGGTGAATTTCAGCCTATTCATTAACTTTTCATCTATGTATTTTCCTAGGAACATGAAGTGGAAAAAATGTTCACACTTAAGGGAAATCGTTTGCCAGCAGCTGATGTCAAGAATATTATTTTCTTTGTGAGACCCAGGCTAGAATTGATGGATATAATTGCTGAAAATGTGCTCAGGTATCTCAGAGCTTATGTTTGATCTAAAAGAGGTTGATCCTAATAATGGTTTTAATGTAGGTTCCTTCTCATTGCAAATCCCCACTCTTGCCAGTGCATTGGAAGGTGGACTTTTGGAAAACTGGGACAAGCATGGGAGAATATAAAATGAGGGATGCGAAATTTGTGACATTGCTCTAAGCAGTTTGACAGGAGGATCATGATATAACTCCATTCTTTCAGGATAGCTGAAAGTTTGAACCTGTATCAGTAAAAAGAACCCTAGTTAAAAAAATAAATAAAGAAACCTCTGATGGTTATTTTTCAATATACTGAATGTAGTAGGCTTGAATTTCATAAGCAAAAAAGTAAGAGCTGATTACAATTTAATGTAGCATCCAATCTGTAGAGGAAGGCTGCACTCTGGTATAATTGATCGATGCAGCCCCTAACATCTTAAAAGCATAGGAGCTATTTTTGGAAGTCGCATGTCAAGGAGAGAAAGGTGGGAGTCAAGAGTGATCCTTCATTTTATTATAAGACTCTGTGTGGCTGCATCGCTTTGGTTAAAGAACCATTTGTCTTCAGTAAGACACAGATATCCTATTTCAATAAATCTGAGAGCTCTAATGCTCCATAAATCGTTTAAGAGAATGCTAGAAGCTACACCACAAAGTACTGGCTATGACTCAATGCTGCTTTCCTGTCAGGGGGAAGAAAAAAGAGAGCAATCAACTATAACGATTTGAGTCTGAGAGTCAGTATTTGTATGTTTATCTAGCTAGCATTTATTTAGTGCCTGCTGTGTGCCAGGCAGTGGGGACAAAATAAGCAAAATGGTCTATGACTCTTAGGGGCTCATAAGCTAACAGATGTTCCTTCCTTTGCAGCGAAGACAGACGTGGCCCAGTGAGAGATTTCCACATTTTGTTTGTGCCACGACGTAGCTTGCTGTGCGAACAGCGGTTGAAGGATCTGGGTGTTTTGGGATCCTTTATTCATAGGGAGGAGTACAGCTTAGATCTCATTCCTTTCGATGGGGATCTCTTATCCATGGAATCAGAGGGTGCGTTCAAAGTAAGTTTGGCATTTCCTGAACATCAGACTTTAATTTTTACCAGATTTATGAGTGTGGAAATGTCATGATACTGCTTTAGTTTGTGTGACACGATCACTATGAAGCTGAGGCCATTTCATGTGTTTATTGATGTTTAATATTTTCTCTTTGGCAAATTGTCTGTTCATTTTCTTGCCCATTTTTTCTTTTTGAGGAATTCTTTATATATTCCAGATACTAATCATTATGGGTTATAAAAGCTGCAACAGCGAGGCGTAGTGGCTCATGCCTGTAGCCTCAGCTTCCTACAAGGCTGAGGCGGAGGGATCGTTTGAGTCTAGGAGTTCAAGGCTGCAGTGAGCTATGATTGCACCTACGAATAGCCACTGCATTCCAGAGGGAGAATGTGAAACCCTGAGACTCCCAATCTTAAAAAAGAAAAAAGAAAATTAAAGCTTCAAAATGTCTTCTCCCAGTCTGTGGCTTGTCTTTTAACTATGTTTGTAATGTTTTTTCATCATGTAGACATTTCCCATGAAAAGTACCTAATTCCAGCCCTTTGGGAGGCTGAGGCTGGAGGATTGCTTGAGCCCAGAAG